TCTGTCTTGCTTGCTTGCTTGCTTGCTTGCTTGCTTGCTTGCTTGCTAGGCGTTTGGAGGGGGAGGTCCCCTCCCCCTGCGCGCAGGCACTTTGCCGGCGCTCTCTCTCTCTCTCTGTCTCTCTGTGTCTGGCGCCCCACTTTGGGGCTGAATCGAGGGCCCTGAATCAGTAGAATATGTAGGAATGTAGCGCTTTCATGTCCAACTATGTGTAGTGTGGCGCTGTGTGTGCTGCCCCCTTCAAAACATAATCGCCTCCGAAACTATATTCCGAGATTCTTCAAAATCAAATCTCAGCCCCCCTCTTGTTCTCCTCTACTCAGTCATTCTATAAGGTTGACCATTAGCAGAACGTAAAATTCAACAACAGAATGGGGCCGATCTTTTGGCGCACTGTAGGCCGCTGCCCAAAAACGTGTCAAATCCTGAAAGATCCTCTGGGATAAACTCATCATAGAGGATCACCTTTAAATTGAATCAGCATAAGGAACCCCCAAAAGAGTATAGGTAATTCTTTAGGCCCCTATATTACAGCTTCAGAGGTTTGGCTCGCGGGACTCCTCCTCGCGGCTCAGTAAGTGGGTGGTTTTGGGAGTTTTACGATATGCGTCAAAAGACAAACGGGGATTAGGGTTTATAAGGGTTTAGGGTTTAGGGTTTGGGTTTAGTTACAAAGGTCCGTTCGCCTGTAAGTGGGGTTTGGCGTTGTGGGTTAAAGATTCCTTCAACCCTATAAACCCTCAACTGCCCCTCGATACGCTGAACCCTAAACTGCACCGAAACGCTTAACCCCGCAGAGCAAACTCAACTACACAGGCCCAGAGCACAGCGTCATGCGCGAGAACTTGAACTTCCGCTTGCCCCCTGCAGCGAGCTCTTCCGAGGTGACCTGCAAGGCTAAGGCTACGGGCTTACCACTGCGAAACCCAGCACTACAGGAGTACTTGCTTTTGGGGTGGACTTATCCGGAGAGCCCAACAAGCCTGACAAAAGTGATACGCCTTGAACTCAAAAGCAAGAAGCCCTACATTCTAGATACCTTAAGGAAACCGGTTTGATTTAAGGGCCAACTGTTGGGCTTCTGGGTGATTACATGAGTGATGAGCGGTTACGTCAAGCGCCGATTTAGGCGAAATCTTGTTGCTATTTGTTACCTCGACCCCAAACCTATGTAGAATAACAGTCTTGTATCGGTGTTGGGCCACAACTTTGCCTACTTTTGAAGGTTGAGGTAAACCCAAAACGCCCAAACCCCAAAAATCCTGAACCCAAAGCCCTAAACCCTAAACCCCGAAACCCTAAGCCCTAAACCCGAAGTTGAAGCGCCCGAACCCCGGCCTGGATTTCTAGTAAAATCATTTGCAGCCCGGTCGAGGATCCGGCGGGCTTGGGGGTTTCGGGCTTAGGGGGGTTTCGGGGTTTAGCCTTTAGGGTATTACGGGTTTAAAGGTTTCGCGGTTCGGGGGCTTAGGGTTTTGAATTTAGGGGTTTAGGGTTTGAGGCACCAGAAATCCCTAGAATGAGACATCCTTCGTATACAACCCTTGCCGCTATGAGGCACTGGAACCTCCATGGCCCCCCAAAGCCCTAAACTCGAAACCCCCAACCCAATCCCCCTTCTGAATTACGGTTTAAAGCTTTAGGGCTTAGGGTCTGAGTGCCTCCCGTCAAGAACCAAGCCCTTAGTCCCGCAGGTTTAGGATTTAGGGTTATGCGGCTTTTGAGATTCCTGTGGAGCCAAAAACCTATCTTTTTAAGGGTTAGACCCTTTAATTAAGGGGTCATAGCCTACTATTTTGTAGGGTTTGGGGATACAGGTTAGGCTTCTAGAAGACACTCTTCTGTCGCGAGGCCTAAATACGTAAACGGACTATGGTCTTGGAAAAAGGGGATGTGCAAGGCTCATACATACGGCTATAACCCGAAACCTAAACTCTAAACCCTAAATTCCTAAACCCTAAACTCCTAAGCCCTAAGCTCCTAAACCCAAAACCCTAAACCCTGAACTCTAGAACCTGTTACAGGCTTCGGGATCATCTTCGTAGACCACCCAGGCCCATGTATTAAAAAGCCCTATGCAACCCCGTCACGCCACTCAGAAGCCATTACCCTAAGTAAGGGTCCACATATACATATATATATATATATACACTACTAAGTCACTACTATTGTGGCATTCGGTCCCAAAAAACCATAATAAGAATGGGGTTTCAGGACCTAATTCCATAATGTGAGTATATGATGTGGACCCTCTGAGTTAGAAAGTCACCATGTGCCAAAGCATGACGCACCGAACCCAGGAACCCATGCAAGCTACACCCCAACCCACACGGTTTAGGGTTTAGGGTTTAAGGTTTAGGGTTTAGGGTTCTACCATAGCCCATTTGTTTGTAGGTTCTTACTCCAAACTCCAAGCCCTCAAAATAGAGTTTATACGGACCCTACATACGACGAGGTTCTGGAAGTTCACGGTAAACCCTGAACCCAGCCTCTTCGTCTGGCTCCTCGGTGGCTTTGCTTGCCAATCCAGTGGAGAGGACGGTGATCTGCAGCACTGGGCCCTGCTCGCTTTCCTGGCGCTGCCTTGCTGCAAAGATCGGTGTTTGATTCCCAAAGACTGTAAGGCCCTACCTAAACCGATACTGGCATCGGCCTATTGAAAATGGGCGTGCTTGCTATGATTCTTGGTGCGTTCATGTATGTGTATACATGTATACACACAGCACATCTGTTTGTGTATATATATATATATATATGACTGTATAAATAATGTATAAACAATTTGTTTGTTTATTTATTTGTGTGTTGTCTGATTTGCTTACCTGTTGCATATTTATGTGTTATTTATTTGTATATTTATTTGCGTATGTATTCGACTATCTATCTTATTGGTTTTCATGTAACGGTATGCTTGTTGAATTATTTATTTGGTCAAAACTTTGCAAAAATATGAATATGTAGATACAAATACATTTATACCTATGTACACATACATAGATACATAGATACATGGATACATACGGACATACATGCAACAAATTTTGGGCTACAGGTACACCATGAACAGTGCACAACATACACAAGGCAGGTTACGGTTTAGGGTTTATAATTTAGGGTTTAGGGTTTAGGGTGAATTTATCCCAGCGCCCTCACCGGTACAACCTTAACCCCTCGGCCTGAACTTCCCAACCCTCTAACCCAGTCTAAAACCCTTGCCAAGCCGTTAATGAAGGGGCCTTAATAATTAGAATAGGGTTCCGGGGTATATTATGCTAAAATTATGATAAAGAACCCCAAAACCCTATTCTGATTATTAAGGCACCTAGACTTTCAAGAACCTTAAAAAGAATCTATAACACACTCATGAACCAAACCCAAGGCAACCAAGCCCTGACAACGCACTTCAAAAACCCCACAAGCCGTAAACCCTGCAAGCCACCCATACTACCCATAAAACCCTAAACCCTACACCCTAAACCCTAAACCCTAAACCCCTTAACCCCAAACCCATAACCTTAAGCTAAACGCCGAGACCCCAAAACCCCTAAACTCTCAATCCTAAGCCCCTAAACCCCTGAACTCCTAAACCCTATTTGGCGTCTTGGGCCGCCCCGGAACCTAAAACCCTAAACCCTAAACCCTACACGCAAAACGAGAGCAGTGCCAAGGCTCGTGACAATGAGATCTCCGAGTGATGTGGCCACAGGGTCGCTCCGCCGGCTCAGCCTGTACAGGGGGCCTTTAAATGGGTCCTTCAAGGGTTTTTTGGGGTTTAGGGTTTGGGTTTAGGGTTTAAGGTTTAGGGTTTAGGGTTTATGGTTTTTTGGGGTCTTTCGGAAAGGGCTTTATAAGGGTTCTATAAGCGGCGTGAGATGGTCAGCTGAAAGATGCTGAAAGGTTGGCACAATGAAGAAGCTTTCCTAGGTAGAACCAGGTTTGGGAGCAGAACATTCCACAATTCTGAACCCTGACAGAGGAAAGAATCTACTATCAATAACATGTTGAGGTTGCCTTGCTCCCGGGCGTCGGTGCATCGGCATGTGTGTGGGTGTGCTCGCGTGCGCGTGTGCGTGTGCGTGCGTGTGCGCGTCTGCGTGTGTTTGTGACTCAGGGGTTAGCTGATGGTTAGCCCAACGGGTCCAAGTTATAGTATGGTATATACTTGTGGGGCCCAAATACCTACAAAGTAGCTACCATGTTAATACTTGGACCCTTTGGGTAGAGGCACACAATCTGGGTTGGAGAGTGACGAGTTTGGGCACCGGTATACTGAGGAAGGAGTTTAACGAGACTGGGCAGCTGACTTGCAAAACGATACGACAGTCGTTGTTCAACCCTAAACCCTAAACCACGAATACGCTATATACTCCTCTTGGACTCCTCCTTCCAGGACAACGATGACGAAAACAGCTGCTGCTACTGAGCGTCAGGCCTGAACAGCTGGCAGAGCAATGCTTCTTAAACCCTAACTCCCTGACTCCCAAACCCTGAACCCCGACCAATAAAAATGAGGAAACCCTGAACCCCGACCCCTAAAATTAGGGTGTAGGGCCGCTTAGGGTTTAGGATTTAGATGGCGCGAGGGTTTTAGGGTTTTGCAGGGCATTCAAGATCCAAACGATCTGTGCCTGATCTGCGTGCCAAGGTTGATCTGCTCGCCAACGGGCTCACCCTTCTCGTCCACGCATTGTGCACATGTGGTGACGTAGCTTCTGCCTGCAAGGTCCAAAACCCCCAACCCCCCCCCAAAAAAAAAACCCACGAAACCCGAAACCCTAGATTCCTAAACCCTAAACCCTAGATTCCTAAACCCTGAACCCTAAATCCTCAACCCCAAGAACTTGAACCTTGACCCTATATGTAGACCCAAACCTTAACCTACTGTAGGGGCCTTAATAAATAAAATAGGGTTTTGGGGGTCCTTTGTGGTGTAACCATAATCAGAAACCCCCTTCAAAAAAGTAATATGGGTAATTGTTTTAATTGTTTTCTAAATTAGGGTCCCTTTTGGGGTCCTTTTTATAAGGGTGCCGTACTATATTGGGGACCCCAAAATCGGACCCTAATTTAGAGAAACTACCCATTTCGGCTTCTAGGGTCCCTGTTTAGGCCCCCAATATAGTACGGCACCCTTATAAAAGGGACCACCCTAATCTAGAAAAACTACCCCTAGTATCAGCAAGAAATTGCGGGACGCTTGGCTTTGGCAGAAGCACGGGAGGACGGCAACCTGACCTGTAAGAAGCCAGCTACTGCCAGAATCTGATATTGGGTATATAATTAGGGTTTACCCATAGGCCCCATAGTAGTTCCTTTTTGTGGCTTATATGTAGGATTCTATTAAGGAATCCCAAAATGGAACAACTATGGGGCCTATGGGTAGGGTTTAGGTAATGTAGGGGCTTTATTAATTAGAATAGGGTTATGGGGCATATTACAGTACAGTTATGAGATAAGATTGAAATATTCGTGGATATCTTCTAGTTTGTGAAGAGCAGACAAACATTCACTGCAGAAAATGACCCGACACAAGACTGCATGGCTCAACAAATACTGGACTGAACATTTATATTCATGCAGCAGGCCGACAGTAAGCAGAAAAGAGCAGGCTAAAGTCTAGATGGTACCTACTTTGGGCAAGAAATATAACACGATAATAACGATACTTAATCGTGATATATATATATATGTGTATAGAAACACATATAACATGCATACTTACATATATATATATATATGTATGTATCATATATCGATATTCCGCAAGAGGGACAATAAAGGACAAGGCGCCCCAGAGCTCCCAGAGCAGCAGCACTTGACCACCCATGGCACAGGCTTTCCTCTCTTCAAGAACCCCTAACCCTCCAGGTACTGACTATATAGGGCCCTAGGGACTCTAGTACCCTCTATAGTAGGTACCTGGAGGGTTAGGGAACAGGGCCCAAATTGAGAATTGAGCTTAATTTAAGGTTTAGAGGTTTTAGGGGTTTTAGGGCCCAAATTGAGAATTGAGTTTAAGGTTGAGCGGTTTTTAGGGTTTAGCGCCCAAGTTGAGTTCAGGGTTTCTTATAAACGCAATATATATATATATACAGAAAGCCGAACAGTTGAAAGTTAAAGTTCTCCCATTGGCCATCTAAGCTTCAGGCGCGAGACGTTGGCATCCCCCTTGAGGTCCGTCAGCCAGCAGATGTTCTGCACGGCCTCTGTGATTTGGGGGTTTCCGAAAATAGGGGACCCTAATATAGCACCCTAAATAGTAGGATCCTTATTATAAGGACCCCCAAATAAGGTACCCCAATTTTCGGACACTCCCATTTGGGGTAAAAGGGGTTGTAGCCACACCTAACTTGAACCATCCCAGGTAAACCCTAAACCCCTAAAGCCTGAACCCCTAAACCCAACACCCTAAGCCCAAAATCCGAAACCCTAAACACCAAAACCCTATCCCCAAAACCCAAAACCCAAAAACACAAACAAAGCCTTTAAGCTTAAGTGTCAAAACCTCAACTCTAAGCCCTGGTAGTCGGGGCTTCTTAAACCCAGCTCTGTGCCGATGGCTTACGGTTTCGGGTTTTAGGGTTTCAGGGTTTAGGGTTTAGGGGTTTAGGGTTTAGGGGTTAGGGGTTTAGGGCTTTGGGGGTTTAGGGTTCAGGGTTTAGGGTTTAGGGTTTAGAGTTTAGGGTTTAAGGTTTAGGGTTTAGGGTTTAGGGTTAATCTTCAAAGCGCCGGTTTTTGGTCCAGGGTTCAGGAGTCTTAGACTTTTGGGTTCGGTTCAGGATTTAACGTTCGCAGTCCAAATTCCTGAACCCTAAGGCTCAACATCGCCCAAAAGCCGCATATAGTATGGTCTTTGGGCACAAAAGCCTTGAACAGATGTGTCCTTGGCGCCTCTTATAGCATGGTCTTTAAACCCTAAACCCTAAACCCTAAACTCTAAACCCTAAACCCTAAACCCCAAAGCCTTGCAAAATATGAGTCCTGAGAGCCTCAGGGGTTAAAATCTAAACCGTGGCATCTTGCCTGCTCCTGCCACTCACCGCGGAAGGCGTAGAAGCCGCCCTTGTGGCTATAACTGCTCTTTGAGTTCCAGACCTGAACCGGGGGTGCCGTAAACCCTAAAGTCTTGGGTTTATTGTTTAGGGTTTAGGGTTTAGGATGGAGGGATCTATCTGACATCTAACTTAATCTAACTTAAGGGTCTTGGAAAAGCTTGAGCAGGTAGTGTTCTAGGTTTTTATGTAGGGTGTCCTGGGGTGTTCATAAGTTCGGACTTAGGGATATAAAACCTATATACCTTGAACTACCACGTCTATACTACGGCTTACAAAGAAGACCCTGCACAAAAATAGGATACCTATGGCAGCTGAAGGTATGAACCCCCAAATCCCTAAACCCCTAAACCCTAAACCCTAAAACCAAGACACATCATCCTTGGGTCCTTCCCAGTTCTTCCGGACCGACACGACGCCCAAGTTCCGCGGAGTGATCCGATGCCTGGAAAACCCCAATGGCCCAAACCCGAAGGCTCCATGTGCTTATGTAGTGTAGAATAATTAAGCCTTCATGTACTTATGTAGGAACCCCCTTTAAGGCCTAAGTATATATGCTATTTAGGTACATGGAGCCTCAAGGAAAGGACATGAAAAGTAGCAAACGGGGTTGGGGGCTCCGTAGAGGGTTGCTTCCGCGGGTTGTATCAAGTCTCGGCGGTAAGAATTGCACAAGGCATCTGTCTGAAGTCTTTACAACGAAGCACCCGCACCCCCCCCGACCACTTGCCTGATGTCGATAATGAGCCCTTGACGGTAGTTAGAGAGTTTTGGGCAAACCCGTCTAGCACTAAACCCCCCAGAAGCTTCCAGCCCTAAAACTCGAAGCCGCCCCAAAACCTTGTAAACACCCCTAAGCACTCCTTCCCGAAACCCGGAACAACTACGGATTCTACTTCTTCAGGCCCCTACATCAAATTAACCCCAAACCCTAAACCCCTATAAACCATAATCATCCCCAAACCCTATAAGCCCTAAACCCTAACCCTATACGACGCCCCTCAGCCCTAGACCCTAGAAGCCCTAAATCCTAAACCCTAGAAGCCCTAAGCCCTCAGCCCTATAAGCCCGAAACGCTAAACCCTAAACCCGAAACCTTGAACCCTAAACCCCATAAACCCCATAAGCCCAAAAAAGCCCTAAACAACCTCAACCCTAAACCCTATAAACCCTGAACCCCATAAACCCTAAACCATGGGTGCGCTGGGCCTTTCTGAGGGTGCCGAGGCAAAAGCGTCCGAAGACAGGCAGTCCAGGCTCGGAGAACCTGCGGAAAAGACGGCTTGGGGATTAGGGCTTGGGGTTGAGGGCTTGGGGTTTAGGGTTTAGGGTTTAGGGTTTAGGATTTAGGGTTTGGGGTTTGGGGTTTAGGGTTTGGGGTTTAGGATTTAGGGTTTGGGGTTCAGGGTGTAGGGCTTGGGGTTTAGGGTTTAGGGTTTGGGGCTTAGGGTTTAGTATTTAGGCACCTGTCATAGCATGTCACAGCAGGATCCGCACAACAACATGTCGGGATTTAGGATGGCTGGTGGTGACGTGG